AAGTATGTATATAAAGCTATGTATATAAAGAAATAAATTAAACGGTAATGTTTAATATATAATATTATTTGAAAACCTAGTCAATGTAAAATCAAAACTAAAATATTTATCATTTTCAATTTTATTTCAATTGGTAAAAATTTACAATTTAAATATATGCGAATGTACATAAATGTTATTTATAATTGTAATATACATATAAATAATGTAAATGTATTTAAATTTAATGAAAATAATACACTATACATACTACCTATGCGTATTAGACGTATTGCACTATTTACTTACAAATTTACTTATATTGTTTAATTAAATTAGGTGCACGTTTATGGTAATGTAAACATAATGGGAATTTCATTTTAATTGTTTAACTAATTAACTTGTTATCTAATATTGTTAATAATTTTAGGTGTGGCATATTTTAATTTTCCAATTTGATTCTCATTCCGCAAATATGAATAATAAATATAAATATGTAATATTTACAGATATTAGATAAATGTAAGACTATTGTATCTATGTATGCATAAGGCTAACAAATTAATTGAAATTAAACTAACAAATATTTTGATAATTTATTGTTAGAAGATCATTTTCTATTGAATGTGAATTGAGCTTAAAGAATTTTTGTTTTTATTGTGTTATTGACATTTGTACATAAGACATGCATACAGGGTGCTGGAAAAACATCCTAACAAAACTATGAGAGATAGTGGAAAATGTTACAAGTATATATAGATTAACTTTTTTTTTTCATTGCAGTGCGTCGCATTTTGGCAAGTTAGGGGTCGTGCGAATTTCCAAAAAAAAACTTTGTTTTTTTGACAAGGTAGGGGGTTGTGCAAAATTTTCAAAAAATTTTTGTTTTTTTTGCCAAAGTAGGGCGTCGTGCAAATTTTTAAACAAATTTTGTTTTTTTGCCAAGGTATGGGGTCGTGCAAAATTTAAAAATTTTTTTTTTTGCAAAGGGAGGGGGTCGTCCAAAATTTTTAAAAAAATTTTGTTTTCTTGCCAAGGTAGGGGGTCATGCAAAATTTTTAAAAAAATTTTGTTTGTTTGCCAAGGTAGGGGGCGTGCAAAATTTTAAAAAAATTTCAATTTTTTGGCAAGGTAGGGGTCGTGAAAAATTTTGAAAAATTTTCAAAAAATTTTTGCATAGGTAGGGGGTCGTGCAAATTAAAAAAAATGTTTTTTTTTTTGCCAAGGTAGGGGTTTGTGCAAAATTTGAAAATAATTTTAATTTTTTGCCAAGGTCGTGCATAATTTTAAAAAAAATTTAATTTTTTACCAAGATAGGGGGTCGTGCAAAATTTTTTGTTTTTTGCCAAGGGGGTCGTGCAAATTTAAAAAAAATTATGTTTTTTTGCCAAGGTCGTGCATAATTTTAAAAAAATTTTAATTTTTTACCAAGATAGGGGGTTGTGCAAAATTTTCCAAAAATTTTTGTTTTTTTGCCAAGGTAGGGGTCGTGCAAACTTTTAAAAATATAACACAAAATAAAATTTTTCGCGAGAAATTTCCAATTTAAAAAAAGAAAAATTAGAAAAAAAAAACAAAGATTCTAACTTTGGCGAGCTTTATCTCAAAAACTATTGCTCAAATCAAATTTTATGTAAGACCGAAAATAAAGAGCGATCGATTGCCTGTAGAACCTGATTATTACTCCGTGTTGTCTTGACTTGAAGTCGAGACTTGAAGTCAAAAACCATGATACCTGAAACCCCCGTCCCCCTTTCAATAATTCTTTCAAAAAATCATCCCTGACATTATTCACCTCCTTATGCTGTTGTATTTCGCATCATAATTTTGGTATTGGCATATTCTGTAGAAAAAAGTACAGTCATACATATGACTATATATGTAGTTCAAACCAAATAAAAATAGTTTTAATCACAATTTTTGTTGAAGAACAAATGAAAAAAGTAAGCGAGAAATGAATAAATTGTAAAATCTTATTTGGATAAAATTTTTGTTTAGGAAATAAGTGTCAAGTAAAAGTTTTTTTAAATAAAAATTGCCCAATGTTTAAATCAAGCGCAATTGCTTATTCCCTAAAACATACTTAATTCTTTATTTATTATTACCTTGAAAAAACATTATTCAAAATGTTCACTCTTTATTCAGTTGGAAAATTTATTATCTTCAAGAAATACTTTTACATCTGTATAAATTAATTAGGGTTCAAATTAAAATATAATTAAAAACCATTTTTTACACTTTTACGAAAGAAGAAATTATTTTTTTAAACTTTAGTTACTGTATATTAAAAATAAAGTGTCAAAAAATATCCTTTTTCATACAAATTTTTGCGCCGTGTAAAAGATAAAGTCTTTTTATTTTTAAAGGAATATAAAAGAATATTTATTCCATTAGGTATAAAAGAAAAATTTAATAGAAGAAGTATTATGTTATTATTTTGTCTTTTATCTTACTTGTATCCTTTTTATACCCTTTTAAATATTAAATATTGCATTTACCTATATCTACATATAAACATATAATATTACTAAACCCAAAAATACTCACATACGAGTATTATACTTTACTTTTTCCATCTTTATTGGACGGAGTTAAGCTTCTGAAATATTTTGAAGGTTTTGTACACATTTTTTTTTAAACAGTCAATAGATTCCTTTTTATGTATCTACATATATTGTGTTCTTGTAAAGTTCTTGCTTCTTTTGTATTTTTAATAGGGTCAATTTGCATATGATTTGCTGGTTATCTCTTTGGGAATATAAAAATAATATTTCCGTTTTTAAAAAGCAAAAGCAAGTTGTGGAATAATAAAAGCAACAAATTAATATTAGAAGAAAAAAATAAGTAAAATTTGTTTTAAATTGCAGCTACTTTTGAAACTCAAATGTGGCTTACATATCTTGATATTCATTTATAATTGTACAAGATTTACGTATGAATTTCAAGTCAATTTAATAAATTTGTTTAAGAAAAAACAAAAAAATGCTCGTTGATGTTTATAGATCCTTTTTAAATATAAGTTGGAAAAAGAATGATTAAACGCTTGAAATTTGAACTCATTTACATATGTGTATATTTTTAGGGGCTTTAATAGAGTACCTTTATTTCAGTACTACAGAATTAAAAACCCACATAAATACTCTTTAAGGCCATTCGAAAATTATATAAAGGGTTATTAAAAATATTTGTTTTTAATAATATTTTGTCAAAAATATGTTGTTGCAGCTTTATCATCTTATCTTATGGTTGCCTTGAAAGTTTTCTCATTTTTTAAGGTATTGATTGTTGTTAATTCAAGGCCAGAGCAATAATAATAGTGAAAAAGCATTGTTGAGTTGTTGAATAAGCATATGTGTGAACCGTGTTAGTAAATATTATAATTTTTTTTTTCGGTTTTTTTTCAATATTTTTTTATATAAAATTTTTATAGTCTGACTGTTTTAACACAATGGAAAAAAGGTCAAAAGCCCAAGAGAATTGTGAATAGGAACAGTTTTCCAAAATAAAAGTGTGAAAAATTTTTCTGTCTCTATTCATTTTATTTTGCTCAAAGAATATTAAACATAAATACCTACCTGTTATTATGAAAACATGGTGAAAAAATACAGAAAAAAAAAATGATCTCTTTTTATTCTCTTTCAAGGATTCCATTTGATTCAAATTTTTTTGCTTCATTTTATCATCAAATTCTGTTATCAGCTTCATACTTCAGTGTTTCTCATTTGCTATTTAAAGTGGAAAAAGAAGAGGAAAACGCCTTCTGTAGAGTCCCTTTTCAGTCTTTATCTAAATGATTTTTTAATAGATTTTTCTCTTTTAAATTTATATTTTTTTTTAGTTCAGTATCAACAGTACGTATTTATTATTTTTTATTTTATCAATTTTATATTATCAGGAATTGCAAATTTCTTTTTAAATTTTTCTCCTTTTTATTTTCCTACTATTCTCGATTATAAAATAAATGGAAGCCTTATAAAATTTTCTATTTTACTTAAATTATTCCGAAAAGAAAAAATATTTTTTTTTCTTTTGTAGACGTGACTATATTTTAGGAACATGAATTTAAAAAAAAAAATCCAAAAACACGCAATTTTTATCTATTCAAAGTGATAGCCCCCCTTTAATATCAAATTGTAAATCGAATTTTAAGTAGAATAGGATAACTTCTCATACATAATATTTATATTCTAGAAAAAAAAACTTCTGTTAACAAACAGCTGTCAAAAGATTTTCCAGCAGAAGGGAAGGTAAATTAGCTATGATATAAAGCAATATGTTAAGTATTTTTTGAATTTTTTATATACAACCCTTGCAAACAAAATATCGAAATTTTTTTAATTCCTTTTCGGGGCTGAGCACTCACAGGGCAGATTTCAAAAAATCTTCTGGAACAGGTACACATGCTTTCATGTTTGTATGCAACAAACAAGTTTTTTCCTGAATCCCTGTATTGGTATCTGAGATTTGACAGGGTCGGTTTTCAAGAATCTCGAGAAACAAAAATTATATATGTATGTACGTCCGAGAACAATTCATTTTTTTAGCTTTCAATTTTAGCACAAAAATGCTTAAAAAATCAATTTTTTCGCTAATACTTCCGAAATGACAGGTCTTTGAAAATATTTTTATAAACAATCACAACTGATTTCTCAACAACTTTAAAAAGTTTCATTGTGATCGGATTAATGGTGTAGATATGCTGAAAGGATTCATAAACACACATACTTTCATTATACCGACTTCATTGCGTGTTATGTGATGATATCCAATTTCGGATGCCGAGTTTTCGGTAGGAATGAAAAATTTTCAAAAAAGAAGTTTTTGACAAAAAGTTTTCATTTCGCTTTAACCTTTCTATTAACTTAAATAAATTTTGAATAAACAATACACTTTTTTTTAAAATTTTAAAATTAAATGAAATAGTTTAAGATTCTATTTCAAAAAATTACATAATTATATTTACATATTTCATTTTAATACACATTACTTCTGTAATAATAAATTAATTTTTCTCTTATTAGGCTTGACATGGTCTCAATGTGAGGACACATTTACTTTGCACGCATTACCAACAACACATTGCACTAATTTAATTGAATCAAGTGCTGCCGGCGGTATTTATCATACTGATATTGGAGCATTCGATTGGCATAATGGCGTCGAAGATATAGGTGGCGAAGATTTTGATTATGCTATGGATTGTGGCGATTTTATATTTTAAATTAAATTTAATTTAAATTTTTAACATAAAAAAATATAAAGTAAACCTTATAAAAAACAAAATGAAAAAATTCAATTCATTATTAAGAATTAAGATTAATCATTGCGACTAATCTTAATTTCAATGAACGCCAGGTTTTTTTTAAATTTATATTAGAAACAAATAAAAGAAAATCATCAATTCCAATTTATAAAAATAAAATAAATTTAGCTTTCCTTTTGCTCCGTAAATTGGTTTCTTAAGTTTTAAATATTTTAGAGATTTAAAGCCATTTTTAAATAAAGAGAGAGAAAATAGCTACTGATGTATAAATTAATACTTTTTTAAAAAATTTACTTAAAACGCCAAAATCCCTCTGAATTAAAATTTAAAAGAAAAAAGAGTATATGAAATTTAAACTAAAAATACGAATTAAAAAAATTTAAAAATTAAAAAAAAAATTTGATAATATGATTAAAAATTATTGTATAATTTTATAAAATAAAACAAAATTAAATAAAAACTAATTCATTCTTCCGAAATTTTTTAACTCGGTTAATAGTAAATTTCAGTTTTCCACAAATTACAAAAAAATATTCGTTAAATAATGATAGTCCCTATGAGTTCAAAGGTCGAAACTTTTCTTTCCTAATTTTATACAAAAATGCAATAATTTTTTTGATTTATTCTTTTGGTAAAAATTATTTTATATATCGTATTGCCAGTTATTGAAATCGATAAAATATTTCTAAATCTCTCTAACTTTAAAAAAAGAATAGTAAATTTCATTCAATTCCACAAAAAAAAAAATGAGAAATTACCACCTCTTAAATTATAATTTGACATAATTTAGAAATTTTCTATTCTCGTATGTTGAAGTTAAAAAGATTTTAGTGTCACTCGTGACAAGCATATAACCGGAACGTTGATTAAGTTTAATATAATTTTATAAAAGTAAAGTTTCACATACACATTCAAAGTTTTATAATAACATAAACTGCCATATCGTAACTCAAATTCATATTATTATAAATTGCAAAAATACGATTATAAATTGAATAAATTGTCAATTTTAAATTAAAAACCAATTAAATATCAACAAAATATTGGATTTAATTAAGTCGCAATTTTAAAATGATTATAATAAAATACCTATTAAATTGTAAAAAAAAATTAAACAACGGCCACCTCTTGGATTAGATCATAAACTATAAATTATGTAACATGTATAGCTGCAATTAATAAGCACTACATAAGGCTATAATTAATTCATAATATTCATATAAAGTCAATGAAGCCTACATAGTAATAATATTACTGGAACACATATACTATACATACATACATGTAATTATTTTGTGCCACTATTGTTTTATTATTTGAATATTATTTAAGGTTTGTATTATTTAATATATGACTATCCAAATCAAAAGCACTGTAACTGATAAAAGAATGTTTTCGAAAAATTAAGTTAAAACAGGAAAATTATCAGTTGAACTACGTTTTTTTAAATTAGACCCATTCATTTAAAAAGTGTAGTTGAAATCATTACTATATATTATGCAAAACAAGCATTTGCAAACTGCAAAATTTAAAAAAAAAAACTAAATTTAAAAATTAAAAATTTTTTCCAAATTTTTCTACTACGTGTTTTCCAAAAATTTGTATGATGTACCAATATACAAGCACTGCAAAACAAAAGTTGTAAGTTTAAAAGCCTGGAATTTTGATTCTATGACTAAGATTGCATTCGGAATGATAAATTTACAAGCAAGTGATTATTATGCGCAATGTTTAATGCATATTGTTCATTGCTTTGAAAATTGGATGTGAGGAGGCGTTCTACACTTGAATCGCGTAGGGCGCCGAACAAATCAAAACCGGACCGGGCTAGGCATTTCACATAACCTATTTTGATTTGCTTTATTTTTTGTCTATGAAATTACGATTGTTTCTCTTATTGGATAAATATACTTTTGTAAAAGTCAATTTGTTCTCAAAGATTGATTAAAAGACTAATATTTCAAAATTATTTTTGTTGTCACATGTATAACAACATAAATTCGAAAATTTCCATTTTAAAATTAATTTAGATAAACGAAATTTCAAAATAATTAAACTTATATTAAAATTTTTCTTTTATCACAACGTCTGTGTAAAATAATAATTAATATACTGTAATATGTATAATTATTTCAAAATCAATCGATGATTTTGTTGAAAATTAAAACAATAAAATACATAAATATTTAATTATTATTATTCTAATATTTCGTAATAAGAAATGCAAACCAAAAATCAAATTAAAAATTTATATTTGAATTCACAATATAATTTAAATAATTTATGAAATAGAAAAATACTTAAGCATACATATGCATCAATGAAATTTTTCATTTAATTTAATTTTTTCGTATAATTACTTCCTAATAATACACACAAAATACTCATACATTTAAAAATATAATTGCATATAACATTTTTATGATTTATTTACTTATTATAATAATATGTAATATAAATATAATCAATTATACAAAATATACACTTATTTAGTATTAAAATAAATATAAATTTTAATTGCAATTCAAAAATCATAATAATATTACAACAATTATTTTAATTTTATTTATTTTTTTATGTTTTAATTGAGCAATAAATGAATTCTCTAGAAACCTCTCAATTTTATTATTTTTAAGTTAATATTGAAAAATGTTCCATATAATTTGAAATCGTAATAGTATTTAAATTTCATTAAAATAATGGTCATTTTAGTCAAATATAATATACTTAATATAACAATATAGTTTATATAGTTATTATATTATAGTTTTGTAAAATTAAGAATCCAAAAAAATAAAAAATTACCAACATAAAACTATAAATGAATAATAAAATAAAATTTAGGACTATGATGAATAAAATATGGCGTAGTTAACTGCTGTATATTGTATATGTAATATCAATTTATATAATAGCACTATAATAGAGTAAGATTGCCACGAATCTATAGGAATATAATAGTGATCTTTAAAAGTTTTTTATACTCGTATAAAGAGTAGCTGCCGAGACTTTAAAAAATATAATCGAAAAATAGTAATATTGTAATTAATTGAAAAATAAATTATTCTCTATTAATTACTTTACGTATTATTTATCTTTATTTCGAAAAATATACATGTGGCAGCATACTTTACTTTTAACCATGCAACTAATTAAAAATAATATTTTCTGTTTGAAACTACTCTCTCCACATTGAAATATTGTGAACACGTTGATTTATATAATTTATATTAGACATTGGTTTATGATTGTAATAATTAAATTACGGTGAAAAACTTTATTATTAATAAATAAATTATAGTGAACCTTGTGTTATTGTTCATACACATTTATATTTTTGAAATAATATTGCTCCTAAAATGAAATTTTTTTTCTATGAAATTACAAACATTATTTAAAATAGCTGTTATCATACTTCTGGTACTATTCCAAAAAAAGACCACAAATTTTAGAATATACATCTACATATATTTTTTTTAAATTTATTATTTAAATATGGTGACTTCCTCTATATCGCATTGTTATATAATATAAAAAATAATATTGATGAAATAAATATTATCCAAAATTAATCTAGAAAACTAAAATAATAGTTATTATGAGTATTTACGTTACAATTAAGAATTCAGCAAAAAAATAAAATTAAAACAAAATGTGTGAATTTTTGGGAAATGAAATTACTATATTAATTAATAAAATAATAAAAATAAAAAAATGAAAAACCAAAACGTAGATATAATTTAATAAATGTGATGTTAGATGTAATTTTTAAAATATAAAACGAAATATTATAAAACAAAACATTAAATTATTTATGGTAAATTAATAGTATAAAAAAAATTTATATAAAGAAAATGGCAAAAAAAAAAGATAATTAAATTAAATCGATATTTAAATACTCGTATGTGTGTTCTTATGTACGTTTTATGTTCTATATATAAATATATACAAATACTTTATATTACATAATATATAATAATTTTATATAAGTATATGCAGTTTTATAATATTATACTTGTATCCTAACTATTATGATTGAAAAATTATTGTAAACTAAATTAAATGTAATGCAAATATATTTTTATAAATTATACTTATGTATATAATATATATTTATATAACATATATTAGTATATAATTTAAATAAAATATGCATATGTGTAACAAAGTTATAATGATTATGTTATTACAATTATGATGATCATAATTAATACAATTTTGAAAAGCAAAATGAAATAAATAGCATATAATTTTATCAAATATATGTGCATAACTAAAAAGATATTATATTTTTATATATAAAATACATTTACATGTTATACATAATACAATATTTGTAGTCGTATAAATCTATTATTGATATTATTGCATACATACATATAATACTTGTTATAATTTATTAAAATTTAACTAAATATAATTTGAATAAAAATATGCCATCTTTCAGCTGTGACAAATATATAAAAGATGAAGATTAAAATATATATACCGTGTCATATTAATATATTATACAAACAAACATAATTACATACATATAATATCTACTTTAAGATCTGCATTCTTAAATATGTACGATTGTACCCTTTAAAAAATATATTTTTTGAAATAAAATAAAAATAATAGTGATTGTTCATTCAGGATAACATAATTTATATAAATTGAAAAAGCAAAAATATAAATTTTAAATATTTTTTAATAGTTTTGTTAATTATTATCAATTTCTGCTTAAAGAATTAATTATTTATATATTGACAGCACAAAACACACATCTTCGCATATCTTTATATTCGAAGTAATACTTTTTTTTCCAAAATCGAGTATTCACCCATATTCTGTTAATCACATCACTTGACGTAATGGGTTATTATTCAAAAATTTTGAGTTTTTAAGAATAAAATAATTTCTAAGAGTAGACATTTTATACTGAAAACCAAAATACTTTTCAATAATATCTCATCACCTTAAGTGATGCGATTAACAGAATACGGAAATATATAG